GGACACTCTTGTGGGACACTCTTGTGCGACACTCTTGTAGGACACTCTTGTGGGACACTCTTGTGAGACACTCTTGTAGGACACTCTTGTGGGACACTCTTGTGGGACACTCTTGTGGGACACTCTTGTAGGACACTCTTGTGGGACACTCTTGTGGGACACTCTTGTGCGACACTCTTGTAGGACACTCTTGTGGGACACTCTTGTGAGACACTCTTGTGGGACACTCTTGTGAGACACTCTTGAGCGACACTGTTGCGGGACACTCTTGTGGGACACTCTTGTGGGACACTCTTGTGGGACACTCTTGTAGAACACTCTTGTGGGACAGTCTTGTCGGACACTCTTGTGGGACACTCTTGTGGGACACTCTTGTAGGACAGGACACTCTTGTGGGACACTCTTGTGCGACACTCTTGTAGGAAACTCTTGTGGGACACTCTTGTAGGACACTCTTGTGGGACACTCTTATAGGACACTCTTGTGGGACACTCTTGTGGGACACTCTTGTAGGACACTCTTGTGGGACACTCTTGTGGGTCACTCTTGTAGGAAACTCTTGTGGGACACTCTTGTGGGACACTCTGTGGGACACTCTTGTGGGACTCTCTTGTGGGACACTCTCGTAGGATACTCTTGTGGGACAGTCTTGTGGGACACTCTTGTGGGACACTCTTGTAGGACACTCTTGTGGGATACTCCTGTAGGACACTCTTAAGGGACACTCTTGTGAGACACTCTAGCGGGACACTGTTGGGACACTCTTGTGGGACTCTCTTCCAGCTCCCCAGATACTCCGCGTACTAAAGTTGTACTACAAGGTCGCCAGTTCTCAGCTTCCAGCTCCCCAGATACTCCGCGTACTACAGTTGCACTACAAGGTCGCCAGTTCTCAGCTTCCAGCTCCACAGATTGCTCCGCGTACTCAAGTTGTACTACAAAGTCGCCAGTGCTCGCCTGCATTTCGCGCGCTCGACACGCACGATCTCCGCAGAGGGTTGCGGGGGCACCGGACAAATCGCACTCTCGCCTGCATTTCGCGCACTCGACACGCACGATCT